TCAGATAGTTTGCGATACTGTTTTACAACATTTCGCATTTCAAACAGCTGGAAGCGCAATCGTTCTCGAAAAAGATCCCCTTCTTCCGGATGGTTACAGAAGTGCACCATTCAATGATGCAGAGATGTACGGTTGAATGAAATTTTCGGAGAGTCTTTCGCCGAATAAAATCGCTGCTTTGGATCGGAAACCAGCTAATCTCCGCTAACTAACAGTTTCAGTGGTTTGCTGTCGGTTGTTATTTCGATTGTCATCGCAAAATCTAGAGAAGGCTGGTATGTTTTTCAACTTTAGACAATGTTTTATGAGTTCGAGGGCCCCGCTCACTTTACTCATCTCCTACAGATGGTCAGCCGTTGGTGGTGTGCTGGTTCTTCTGAAGAAGTAAATTTATCTGAAATCGACTTTATTTTTTCATCCTACTTCGTCTATCCTTCGAGATTTCCTTGTCATAAATTTGGCATTTATTAACTATGAGGAACCATCTCTTAACCTCAATTTGTAAACAAAGTAATTGGGGAGTTAATGATGCACTTTAAAAAGGCTAAAAAGCAACAATAAATGCATTTTTCTCTAATGCAAAACCTAATTGTTTTATGGTTGCTTTTATAATGATAGAACACGTTTATAAAGAATTTTATCATGACATTAATAAACAATTGCTAATGACGTTTATGCTTGAATTACAGAACAGTTTTAAGGAGGGATTGATAACTGTTTTAAATTTATGTTTAAAACAAGACAGTTTTTGGCTTTCCTGCCAGACTATAAAAGGTTTTTAAAACAGCAAAAAGCTGAATAACTAAGCAGGAACGTTTTACACTTTAAAATGCTATATTTAAACTAGATTGATTGTTCATTGCCGTTATAAAACCATCATAAATCAGAGTGGATGCTAAATGGTTACTGAATTGTTACTTGGGATGTTACCGACGGCAAGGAGGCATCTGGACCCTACCTATCGATCCATCAACTCATGGACCGGGGACCAACGGGCTTACTTCCCTTCCGAAGGGCAAACATACTTTTGAATATAAAAACCAATAATTGATCCATAAAATATTGAAAAACGTTCCATCCAAAATATCCAAATGATCTATAAAACATCGGAGAAAATCCTTTACAAAGTATGAATGATTCATAAAAAATATCAATATGATCCACATTTTATGTGAAATTTAGCAAGACAATTGTAAAAATGTACCGCTTAATTTCTAAAGAATGAGCATTGAAATTGTACGAATTACCCATAAACATATTGCAATTGATCCATAACACATTCCGCAGTGAACCTTAAACTAAAGAAAGTGATCCATAGAAAATCAAGTTTACGCACTTAAAAAATAGCCATGTTTGGATTAATGAAAGCAACTTCCTCAGAGCAGTCTCGTTTTGGACAGCTTGAAGCTGAAATAGGTTTTATTAAACTAATATAAAATCTACACCAATCTTAATGCTTATAATAAAACCTATTTCAGTTTAAAGCTGTCCAAAACGAGACTGCTCTGAGGAAGTTGCTTTCATTAATCCGAACATTCTTCAAGAACAACATCGGATAGAACCTCAAAATGTCAGAGGGATCAACACCACCGTTGAGTGAAGAATAGAACAGCGATCGGAACTGTACGCTTTGTGAAGTTCATGAACACGTAAATGATATGGTCCAGTGTGATGTCTGCGATTTCTGGACCCATTATAGATGTGCTGTAAGACAACAGCTGAAAAGGAGGTTCCGTAGACGTGCTCGAAGTGCACAAATATGCTGAAGGCGCCAAAAGGAACCAAGAAGTCTGTCCCAAAGAAACCACCTAACAGAAAGAATAGTGCGAGGAGTGATGCTGGATCCGATTCTGGAAAATGAAGTACCAATGAGGTCAGCCTGGAGGACTCCCTAGACCAGTTTCAGCAGAAGAAAAGCGCAAAGGAGTTAAGCGCTGGAGGAAGAGAAATTCCTTTATGAAAAGCGGTAGGAGGCTGAGCGGGAGATTTTTCTAACCGAGAGTTATCTTCCGTCACTCTTTCAACAAAGATTTTGCTAGACTTAGGATTTAGTGATTCAATTATTATTTTAGTTAGGCACGCCAACGATGTTGAGAGAGCTAGTTACTAGATACTAAGGGTAAATCTTCTTTTCCTTTTTTTTTCGTTCTTACTCCGACCTATCTAAACTCACAGCTCCGTTGAACCAAACCTGAAGTCTGTCATTTCGTAGCTCTTCGAATCTCCCACAGGGTTGTCGCTGGGCTTGGCGGTACAGGGTTATTCCGATATTCCGAACAGCCATGATCCATATATTAGACGTATATTATTCACGTTTTGGACACTATATCAGGCATAACATTTGATAACGGCACAAAAGCATTTGTAATGAAACTTTCTAAGGCCCTTTACACGCGAACCAAAGTACGCCCACGCAAACCAACAATATCATCGGATAGGGGTAGCTATCACCTTTCCGAAAGTGGTATTGGTTCGCGGGTAAAGGGCCTTAGAAAGTTTGTTTACAAATGCTTTTGTGCCGTTATCAAATGTTATGCCTGATATTATTAATTTTGATCCATTAACCATGAAAAGCTGCTCCATTACTGCGTAACTACTTGGGTTTACTGTCCTGTCGTGTTTTTTTACGTAGAGGTGCGGAACGATGGCCAAGCGTCTAGAATTAGCTTCTAAAAGAAGCTTTTATAATAATCTTCTTAAGAAAATATGAAAAATAAATGTTAATTTTATGGATCATATCTAGCGTAGGTTTTTCAGTTATTGGTAGACGTTCCTTTTATGGTTTGTTCCAATAATAATCAATGGTATATACATATGTTTTTCATGTTTTGGACACTTTTTTAAATTTGATCCATAAACCTTGGAAAACTGCTACATAACTGCGTAGCCACTCAGGTTGCTCAATTGCCTAAATTTACCTCCCTAACTCGATATCCTCCCTAACTCCATGGTCCCTTCAATTTCATTTGAATAAGATTTACATTAAGCCACCTAGATGTTTGTTCAAGACTTCTGGCTCACCAGATTTTTTTTTGTGAAGATCGCTATCCAGTGTTGCAGGCTAATAAGCTATTTTTTGAAGATCTCCAATAGATCATCAACTCAAATAACATTTCTTAGATATTCACTCATAATTTGATCAAAGATCTCCACGAAGACCTCTCGTTGTTTGTTCAAGATTTCAGGATCATCAGGTACCATTCTGAAAATCTCCATCTGCCCAGAAACCCTTAATCCTGTCAAATATTCTCTCATACTATCATGTTGCTCAGAAGTTATTTACAAAATCTTTAGGTGCTTGACGATTTCTGTCTCCAAGTGTTTTTTAAGATTTCAGGATCATCTGCATTAAACGGTTAGTAGATCCATGGTGTCAGCTATTTTCCCCTTGATATCAACCCACTTTTGGTTAGTGCAGTTATAGGTGATGTAAATTTTGACCATGATAGCATGGTCAAAATTTACATCACCCATAACTGCATTAACCGATACGGCCTAGAATATGAGGTGCCTTTTTGGTGAACCCATGAACACTCTTTACGCTCATCTGATGATTTGAAGCCACCCATAATTTTGAGAGGATACATGAACACTAGGGTGGGTCATGCTTGTATGGCGGAATTTTTTATGGATCAACTCAACATTGTAGGTGGCTTCAGCTCATCTGAGCGCATATAGCGTTCATTGATTCACTCAAAACTGTGGGTGGCTTCAGGTGAAGAAAGTGAGATGAAAATTGGCTGCTTAAAGTCAGATCGAAAGTTGTTTTCCAGTTATTGTTATATGTGACCACCATCAGGAAAAAGGAATAACATAATATTAAAACGATCATTTGGGGCACATAAACCCAGGGCAATTAATTTGTTTCATCTATTAAACTGTCCTTGATAAGCGGCAACTAAATGACTCGGTTAACCGGGTGATCCAATTAGCCGGAGTGAAATTTTTATCAAGCCTCCTGATAATCGAGTCCGACCAGCATTATAGAAGACAAATTAAATACATGAATTAATTACTTTGATAGATTTATGAAACCACTGGTTGATACAATGTTATAACTTTAGCAGTATAGTTTTAGAAGTTTCTTGATTAATTTCTTGACTTCGCGAAAGCTGAAGTAATCCCTCAATATAACGGTACATAATTGTAAAAAATTCAGCAAAACATATCCAAGTTTATACAAGAGAAGAGCGAGTAGCTATCAAAAGCAAAATCAGTATTGCAAAGGAACTTTCATATCACCCCTGCAGACAGAATCGAGCAAGATTAAGCCAGTTATTTTAATGAACTCCTACACACAGGTTAACTTTCAAAAAATTACAGCACACACCAACATGTTGGTCCGGACACCGATACATTCAACGACGCGTGCTAAGTTGCCACGTGAAACTTGACTCTTTGGAAGTTCATCCGACCAGCAAGAAATACCTGTACTGCCAAGTTCTCGTCTCTCTATCGCTCCCATCAGAGACGGTAACGTAACGAAATTAACTGCATTAGTGAAAAGTTTTGCCTCTCAAGTATGCACCAAGCCGGAAGCGTATCTTTTCATCCACAGGCACAAATGCATGTAGATTAATTCAACTAGATAGTACTTTTTCTCGTTAGTTTGCCGTTTTGCCGCCGGCTGATGGAAAAGTTGAGCATCAGATGGAAGCAAAGCAGCAGCAGCAGCAGCAGAAGAAAAAACTTCATTCACCAAACTAAAACATCCTCCACGTCGACAGACAGAGAACTTGAGTTCTACCTTGGGCCGACCGATATCAACCGAAAGTCAGCAGGAAGGAAATATCTGAACACGATCTAACACACCTGGCTCACACTTCCGCTGCTGGTTTACCGTCCATTCCCGAGGCACACCGACACACCTAGGTAGGTACATGACGGAAAGCTAGCGACGATTGTGCAATTCACGAGATAGGAACGAGAACAGCCCGTGTATTTGAACAAGGAAGAAAACGAGCAGAAATTTTCGAAAGATTAAATTATCTTTCACTTACCCTGCGGACACTGAAGCGTGACGGAGCCACCGAGTTCCACTTCCATTTGGCCACCTTTGAAATTATTAGCACCGTTCTGCAGCCCGGCGGCCGCAGACGTAGCCGACGAGGACGACGACGATGAGGACAGTGGCAGATCCTGCTCTACGGGTTCCGATGTGACATCGACGGAGTCATCTGAAGTGGGAGAAAAAATCGTGTTAATCAAAGTTTCCTACAAAAAATGGGGAAAAAATCAATACGGTGTTCTACTTTTGTTCATGATTAAATTGTCTCCAGAAAGGGGCAGATTTGCTTGTTTTAAAACTAGTGCAAGCAAATGGTTTTTTTTAGGTCACTTCAAGTTTGACCCGCAATATTTTAAAATGTAAAACAATAAAATTCTACTTACACCTAACGCTCAGATAGTATCCGATGCTGGAGTACTGGAAATTGAGATGACGCGAGGTGCACTTGTACCAGCCCGAGTGTTCCCGCCTAATCGCGCTGAAATTGAGAAATCCATCGCCGGTCTGCGGCACTGGGGTTTCGCCGTCGTCTTTTTGCCAGACTGGCGTCGACGGTGGATTCGAGTCGACGTCGCATTTGAGCGACACTTCGATGCCTTCCCGCAGCGGATAACCAAAGCCGGGCGTCCTGGTGATGGCAAACGAGGGCGAATCTGTTGCGACGAATGCCGCACAATGGAAATGAAAGGGATTTTTTAGCTAGCATCTAACAAAACGAACATTTGTAGTTAGGCAGTCTCGTCGCAGTCGTTGTCAGCGACGCCGGCGGATGAGTTTTCCGCACTGTCACGTTTTTCCGTGCTTTGTTTGTGTGCTGCAATTTTGGACTAGCCAGGTGGAACGTATGGTTCGGTACTTACATTGAACGTCTAGCAGGATCGAGGCGTTTTGACGCATTTTGAGCGTCGGATGTTCCATTACGCAGAGAATGCGCGCGTTGTGATGCACGCGAAAGACTGCCGGAAGTTTTGCTTCCGAAATAGCACCTGCGTTTATTTTGTACGGCTCCTTATCCTGCTACGGTGGATTGGGCGCGGCATATGGCATGTTAAAAATGAGGGGGAAAAATAGACACAAGAGTTAGAAATTGTCGTTTTCCAGCTAGCTTTGGGATGTGCAAAGAAAATGGAAAAGTTACTTCTGGTGATTTCCGCGTTTCATAAACATAGGGCTGTGTCATTCCGCCAACAGTCATTTAGCTGAAGATTATTTCACCGAAGCAAAAATATCACGCCTTTCAATGATATTTTTGGACGGAAAATATTTTAAAAATAATAACAAATACTGTGACGATTCTAGAGAAAATAGGGTTGATGTAACTAATGACAGGAAAATATTCCAAATAATAGGCCGAAGCATTAATACAAATTGCAGAAGAATTTGATGATCTAAGAAAGACAAGATACTCTCTTGGAGATTTTTGATAAGGATATAGAAAATTACATCATCACCTGGAGCTTTCATATTATGATCTTTTTAGTTATAGATCTTACTTCGTCCAAATCAGTCCCTCAGGAATCATCAAAAATATTTTCCCGAGAGAAAATATTCAGATAATCCTGAGCAACCTGATTCTCAATAGGACTAGTAAAACACAAACTGAAATTATGGGAATTCTCGGTGATCAAATTTTTACCATATTATTTAAGCGCTGGAATAGGCTAATGAGAGAGAGAAGGATTAGTATTTTCCATTTAATTCCACTACTTTATTTGCTTGACAGATACGCGTATTTCGTCCTTCTCTCTCATTATACAGGTATTCCACTAAGATGCCCACATTCATCAGGAGGCTAATGAGGTTTTTTTTTCAAAACGGTTTGGAACTCGGGTCTAATTTTGAAACATTATTTTCAAAAGTTTTGTTCCTCAGGGCAAAGAATCGATTTTTAATTTGTTTTTGTAAATCTCACCGGATAATTTTGATAGCAGGATCGCGTGTTCTTTGATACTGCCGCCTACGGACATTTTTCAAACGGATCAAGAGCTGAAGATCGTCGTCTGTTATAAATGAATTGGATTTAACCTCGCATTTTGGTACTTAGGCAGCTCTTGCTTCAACTTAAGAAGTAGTCAAACATTCGAGAGCACTATTAATATCATCTTTGGTTTGCAAATGAATATTTGAATCAAATTTATATTCCATAAATGTTCGATATTGCTCTTAATCAGCTCTATGGTAATTGCAAGTGGAAGTTTATTTCCTGAGATATTTAAAAAGTTACTGGAAGGTACATAGTGGAAGATGCTAAGTTTGAAATAACTTAAAGTGGTCATCATATAAGATGAGGACATCAAAGTATAGAGTTGATAGTTCCGTTAGAGTACGACAGTGTGAACATTCTACATAGAGAGTAGAAAGCGAGCAAGGACAACTTTGAGGAAGGTACAAATCTGGTTGATCATATCTCTTTACCAAACTCTCCAGTTGGAGAGGGATGGGAGGAGTATCCCCCCATCATCACTGGCAAAAGGAGATAATCGCCGATTTGCACATGTACCTACGATGTGTGGAAACAGTTCGATCGATATCGCACGTTATCTGAAGGGAGGCATCTAGTCGTAGGTTTGGAAATTGCAGCTATTGTTGCCTCTACCACTGTTTCTGCTCCTGTCATCGTCGATTTGACGCCTCTATATACAATTTTTACACTGCCGTACTCTAACGGAACTATCAGATTGATTGAATTTGTAAAATGTTGTTACTATAGGAGAAGTTTTAGTACACAAAGATTGTGAAGTATATTTAGCCAATTAACTTAGAACTAAATTTCAGTCAATACCTTTCAAATGTTCTATAAATATGAAAAATCGCATAGATATAAGAAAAACCATTTGCATGTTTTTTTTAAATGGTGACCCCAAACTTATGATCGGGAGTGTACGTACAAAAAACAGAAAACATTTCTGGTATAAACAGTCGGATAAACACAACTTTCCACGCTTTAAAAAAGTTCATTCTGGTAAAACAACGAACAGTCATACGCAAACGAAACTGAACCAGTCAAAAACATTTCAGATATTTTCTTATTGGAATAATTAAAATGCATTGCAGAATTTTTAAAACGTTCAACGTATCATCATGGAAACAGTCTGAGTGAACCATGTAATTTCGTATTATGTATTAATACTTCTATGGATTCAGATTCATCCTACAGTTTAATTGTCCAGAGCACAATTTAAAGTTCTGCTTTTTGAATTTCCATGTTTTTGGTGAAACCAAAACTTGCTAGCTTAATTGCTTCATTAAAAAAAATCTATAAATTTATATTTTTTCAAATATTTAAAAGGGAATTGCAATTCGTAACTTCAACTGCCATTTTCCATATGGGACTGATAACATATTATACAAAGTAAATGCAGCACAGTTTTAAATTTGAATAGTGAATCAATATGAATTTCCGAGCAACAATTTAACGAACCTTCTAATCACTTAAAGCTGTTATTTTATGATAAATTGATTGAACGTGTCATTCTAATTCCATTTATTACGACCCTAGTGGAACTTTGCACTGGCCCTCAACATAGTTTTCTAGAAGCACTTCCACAAGTGTTAGTTGTGAGCTTTCTAATCCAATTACCATTTCTGTTTTAATATAATTGTGTGGTGGTCATTGTACTCATACTCTCAACCCAAAAAATTCCCAGACTGGAGCAGGAATCTAACTCACTGATCCTTCAATTGAAATAATGAAAACCCAATCTTGAAGTGCTCCGTACAAAATAAAATTGTGCATCAAACAGAAATTAGGGCAGGAAAATTCAACAATATTTTAATATATAATAGCCACTTGAATCTTTATCTGGAAAATACTTCTGCTCCATCAGGTCATGAAATATACACGTCACGTCATAAAAACTGATAAATACTGTGAATATTATTGATTGTAAAACATTGTCCAAAAAGCACTATTACCATCTGATGACTACACTATGGAGGGCACTGTAATTAACAAATGATAATACAACGACAAACTGCTTAGTAGCGTGCTGCCAGGGGAAACACCACCAATTACAAAAAATATTACACCGGTACATCTCTATAAAAAAAAGTTGGGGTTGTGTACAAAACACAACCGCATGGTTGACGTAGACTACGTTGAGATGTTTATTGAACTTCTCGTGCATTTTTCTTGATATTGATTTAAAAAACAGTAGAACTAACTCATTTCCTCAATTTACTTCATTTCTTCTCATTGACATGTCAATTTCCTCACCCTTATTAATTATTTTTCGGACTTTTTCTGGGCTTTCCGTAAGGGATATTTTCGCATATGAAACACTTGTCTTTAATCATTTGTTATAAAATGTGCATTGACATCCCATCTCTGCTGTTATAGATAACACGTTTAACCAAACGCTTGATCGCAGTGGGAAATCGTTCACTAGCATGTATTGGACATCCCAGTCCAAGTAACGTTGTAAGTTTTATTGAGGTTTTAAAGCAATCTACAAGTCTAAATCATGGTCTACAGTACCCTCATAAAACCCAAATTGTAACTTGGGAGGTAACCAATAACCCCGCTAATTTGGATTGATTTTGTTATATAAAGTCAACATACGGGGCTTTGGCGAATTATTAGTCGAATTGTTACTAAGCAGGCTTGTTGGTTACTCGGGATTGCCTCCTCACTTTCTTTCCATCATCATAATCAAAAATTTGATATTCAGAGTTGTGATACAGAAAATTAAGAAGTTTGGTCCATGCTCAATATTTAAACATAATTTGCTACTTCGAGTAATCAAACATTCGTCCATCCAAGCAGGATCATAATTCTAAATGTTCATTGGATAGCTTTATGTCAGAATTCATCCGTCTTTTAAGCAGATAAAAAGGAACTAAAACTACAAGAATTCAGAAAAATAAATCTCTTAACTTTTGCCATTCTTGCATTTACACAAATACACTCTAACCCATTTGTAGAGGTTTAATTTTTGTTGGACCGAACTAAACACAACACCACCCAGAAACTCGCTAATCCACTTTGTGTATGAATCAAGGTTGCAAAGACTCATTTCAGCTAAAACAATGTTTTTCTAAATTATGAAATAATTAGATGCCATGATCAAATTTTGAATTGGTAAGATACAAGAAGAGGTTGCAAAGAATGTGTTTGACATATTTAACCTGTTTGTTTCACTTCATGAGAGTCACAATCAGCGATTTTTCACAAACTCACTCACTCACTCACTCACTCACTCAGCGATCAGCAAATCGCTGATTGTGACTCATAGAAAGCAAAATTTACAGGTTTTATGTTTCAAACGCATACTTTGTAACCTCTTCTTGTAAGTTACAAGTAAAACATGCCATCATACCATCTTTTGGTTTTATTATTCCGAAAAACATTATTTTAGCTGAAATGAGTCTTTGCAACCTTGGTATGAATTCTGTAACAAACAACAATGTAATTTACTTCTTAAGGGGAAGTTCACCGCTCCGAAAAAATAAATACGAAATAATTTTTCTAAAAATATTGAAAAAAGGTATAAAGAATGGAAAAAAAAATCCCTTTTATCTAATTTTTCTAAGAAAATTCAAGTGCAAAACATTTTTTATAAATCATTATGGTACATTGACTTTTCAGTTTTACTGAGAGTTCAATTTTTTCCATGTATCTCATCATTTATATGTAATTTTTGAAAAAAATCTAAGGAAGAAACCGATTTTCTTGGATTTTTGATAATTTTTCCCAATATTTTTAGAAAAACGTGCCAATAATATTTTTTGACGTAGACTACGTCTTACGGAAAGGTACTGGGGTTAAATCAAAAATCTAAAATTGCGACCGTCACGAAAAGGTGTAGGGTTTTGAAAGCTTATAACTTTGTCATTTATAGATGAAATAAAAATCCAAATACACCAATTGAAAGGAAATAACTCTCATAATCTGCTACAGTAAACGCATTTTCAATTTTTCATAAAAAAACTGACGATAAATGTACACATAAATAGTGATAATTTTATCACTGTTTCCATGAAATAAACGTTCTTCCCAAGCCCAGGCTTTTGTGCCT